CACCGTGTAGTGGCGGTGCAAGAGTATCCACTACCTCATATAGTCCCGTGCGTATCGTAAGAGGCTAACCAAGACAGACAGCAGTGTATTTTTTTATAGGATAGGGTGACAAACAAGCACACAGTCCACCTGATGGTAAGTGTTTTCTGTGACCCATAGACATCTACATTTATCCTCAATAAAGAATCGAAATGCAGATGCGTCGTCACCCGTGAGGTCTAAGATGGAATGCCTTTTTTCCAGTAAAATGGGTATCCGGTTCTCTACACTCACCATACGAAACGCAACAGTGTCAAGCTGCAATTTTACGCTGGTGTTCTGTGAGAGCGTGGTTCTTCCCCGGTCGAGCCGACCCATTCGTGCTACAAATATACTACTAATATAGCTGCAGCATGGCTCTACCACGTATAGAACAACGTATACATTCCACATATACAGAATGAATAAACAACTAAAAATTTAAAAACTGCGGTCACCAAGCCTTCTGCCAAGCGTGGTAACCATGTCAGATATCGCTCTTGTGAGGCAATTTATAGGGTGACATATGTACAGTACCGGGCTTTAATAGTCTGTAAGCGTAAAAGGAACCACTAAAAATTACACGTATCAATTCCTAAAAATTATCCGTAAAGTAAAACATATAAATAATGATACTTGTTGCTAATAATCTCCATCTTCATCAGTCAGTAAGTCTACTGCTGAAAACAATAATTTTATAATGCACAACGCTAAGCAGGCGGGTAAGCAATCGCAGTACGAAATGCCTCGTACCTTTGACACTGCTGCACGAGACAGGCATTTACGTTATGCATAAACGAGATAGTTATTCTCTATCGAAAGTTTTTATTCTTTCTAGCATTTGCTATAGACGTTTTTTACAATACTCTCAAGACTAAATGAGCTAATGGAGTATCTTATACCGCCACAACATCAACAAACTCTACCCAAATTACCACTTTAACTATAAACGTAGTACAAAGAACTTGTAAAAAAATAATTATATCATTATAATCTCTTATATTTACGCGAAGACTACAAATTGAATAAAACTACTTTTACGGATTTTATCGCGTTAAATTTTACTTATTTTTAAGGTACTCCGGGTTAACTTTGACATCGGGACGTCAATCACCTCAGACCCTGTGACCCCGGGAATAAAAAACAAGATTAAACGTGATAAAATCCGTAAAAGAAGTTTCATTTAATTATATTATCGGAATATATATTTCTTTTAAAATTAATAAATAATAAATATATATTATTTTTACAAAACAAAAATCGAGAAGTAAGGTATTATTTTCAACATGAAATTATTTCAAAAGGACATTAAAAATCTCGTATGTTTTAAATCGTATGGCGAACCTACAACACAAAGGGAAATGATGAGATATGCACGGCATGTGTCCCCGCTTTTCACGAGCGCGGCGTTTGTCAAAACGCTCACGTTTCCCAAGCTTCCGGTCGGCGGCCATTTTGAAAAGATGAGTTTCCGCCGTCCAGCGACCGTGGTGCCCTCTAATTCGGAAGCTGTGGCGCGGCAGGTTCCGGCGCAAAATGTTAAGTAAGCGAATTACATTCTCTCTCGGACGTGTGCTTTTTTGAAATTACCGCTAATGTGTGGAATGTGACACATTCTTTTGTTGTATGATATTTCCGGAAAAACACACATAAACAAAAGAGGTTACATAAATAATGAAACGAAGAAAACGGACTAGAGTAAACAACATGTAACTAATTTGACGGTGTCATTAATATTAATGCCTTTAATTATTGTGTACATATGTATATCCAATAGAGATATCGTGGAGTTATCTAAGTACTTAATTATTTTATTACACATTATCGGTCTTACTTATAATCGTTGATTTTTCCTTACTCAAATTAAATATTAATTATTACTATAGCTGTCGCTTTCTATTTTAACACAAAACGAATAGAGATAGAACGACTTTAATCATTTCTTAAGTTATGAGTTTTATGAGTAAGGTTGTATAAACTTAATATCAATCAAGATCAAGTCACTTGCTTTCTCATTTTACAGCTACAAATTATGCGATCTTAACTGATAAAAAAGGTAACAAAAATATTGAATTATTATTTTACGAAATTAGATATTTTTTTCAAATAAAAATTCGAAGCATTGACGCTATTAACTTCGTTTGTGGTGTTAGTTCTAAAACAATTTTTAACATATTTTTCAAGTTTCCCTCACTTAATTTAGGTTTAAACTTAAAATTCATGATATTGACCAAAATTGAATATGGGCCAGATTAAGTGTACCCTTAACCGACGAGCATGTATGCGTAGGTTAATATATGGATGTAAAGGAGGCGATAGATGTGTGTTAGAATCATGCCATATGGAAGTACGTAGTCTCTGCCTACCCCTCTGAGTGACAGTCGTTGAGTGTTTATTTATTTATTTAATTCATACCCAAAAAGTGAAGTTTACAGTCACACTGGTGGCCATAGGCCACTCTAGACTGTAGACTACACTTCTGAGGCATCTTTTCATTTCTGAGGGTTATGGGGCGGTTGCTAATGGGACAGCCATTGCTCTTATGCGTGTTGGCGGATTTCACATCATATACTCGAAATATTATAGTTTATCTTTATCAAATATTCAGATTTCCTTACGATCTTTTTCTTAGCCACTGGGCACGTGTAAAGACGTTACTTTTAATCGAGATTTTTTTTCCAAATCAAGTAACAAGCAAACTGACACTCCACCTGATGGTAAATAACTATTGCAATCCATGGATAACTGCAGTCAACTTCAAACGAAAATGCCTACAGATGCGTTGTCATCTCTGAAGTCTAGGATGAATGTCTCACCCTTCGCACCGGAACATAGCGGTGCAAGCACTGTTATTTGTCGGAAGACATAGATAAAACGGTGGTACCTACACAGACAGAACCTGCCTATCTAGGCAGAAAAGGTGTCCTGCCAACTAGTCTAATAATTTTAGTTGTGCCGCCGGGAATCAAACTCGAAGTGTTCGCGTACTGTGAATTTACGGCAAGCGCTTAACCTCGGAGCTACGGCGGCTATTTTATACTATATCTATCTATTTTATTTTATCTCTTACTATTATCTATTTTAGAATTAAGTATACTCTCTATCAATTTGAGATAGTACCTAACCTTTTTATTATTTGGAGTGTTTTTTTTTTCCAAATTAACTAACTTCCTTCAAAAATATCTTCTACACAAGTATAAATCAATGGAAATAACTTATGGGATGGTTTATATGCTTTGTTGTAATTACGTGACGTGAAAGTAAGTTTAATTACATTTTTTAAGGACGAAGACCGTGTAGTTTTAAGGTCAAAATAAGCCCTTGAACATCTCTTATAAATTTATTTAAGTTTTCATACTATTTATACCGCATAGAATAATTGCGTTTTTATTCGAGTTAGACATCAGAACCACGAGCGTCCCCTGCGGAGCGCGAGCAAATTACGAGCCAGAAAAACCAAAGTCGATATTATCGCGGAAATCCAATTTTCTCCCTTGCACGCTAAAGACGCCAGGAAAAAAAGCGCCAAGTCGAATGACTCCACCATTTTGAGCAGTGCCTCGCTATGTTTGAGCGGAACACGAATAAGGAGGCGCCGCATTGGCTTAATTTGAATTTTCAACGGCGCTGCGTCGTGTTGGGTGTTGGTTAGGGTTCACATTTCTATGTCATAGATTTGGGATAATTAATGTTACAATTTTAAAGGTGTACTATTATAAGCTTTCAAATATTTGATATCCGTTCTTTAATAGACTTAGCTATTCATTTAAACATACAACATATATTCGGCATGCTGTTTTTATTATTCAAATCCCCAATTTTATAAACATACCTATTTATAAAATCGGGGATTCAAATAAACAGTAGCCTGAACAGATATAATAACAGATTATAAATAGTAAATTATAACATTAATAAAATCTTCTTTTCGCCAAATAGAGTTAGGGCTACTATACCATTTTAACTCCATAGCCTTCTGAATAGGCGGCAACTCACCACAAGCAAAAATGTTAGTTATCATTATAGTTTTCTTTTAACCGTTTAATATTTTATCTACTATTAAATGCACCTTCACTAGTCTTAACAACTACTAAGTACTATATTTTTTATTATAAACCGCACAGGGTTCATCACAATGTTTGCCTTCACCTGTGGAAACGTCTGTATAGGTTTTTTATTTAATTTAGTAATTATATTACGAGGGTTTACCAAAAAATAAATGCAGATGCAAAACCATATATAAATACATAATAAAAATTGTCATGTACAATGACAATTTATATAATTTTTTATTTAATTGCTTCTGGAAAATGTTTATGTTTATTTCACAACAGAGTTATTATCAATTTGTCTATCAAGATCTTGTTCCAAAAGTGGCAATTACATCAGGTGAAATCAAATGTAACATCCCGATTTATTGATGTACCAATCGGAATTCTGACTTAAACTTTGATTACGCAAAACCAATAAATCGGATAAAGAGAAATTCAGGAAAACTTGTGCTATAGGTATCCCTACTGCAGGCGGGTGCATTTGAAACGTCGGCGCTCGTGTCCTAATTAATTTGGGGAGATTCACAGATAGCGGGCTAATTTCGTTAGCCGCTCACTTCGCTTTAAGCTTTGCCCCGTTTGCGTTGTCGTTAATCTTTCGCCTTTTAGTCCGGAATGTTATCTACTTCAAATAATTTACCAGACGCAGCCGATTGCCGAATTCGCTTGGATATTTGGACATTTGACAAATCTCGATAATGTAACGGTTCGATAAAATAATCGTTACTATTAATATAAAATAAACGTTACTATAAAAATAATTCTGCATAATTCAACTAAGTTGGAACCTGACTAAGCACAGACATATTAATGAAAAACATTTTTAAACGGTGTAGGTGTGGCCTATATCAAATTTAAATTGATCTAACGACAATAGTATGACCATAGTTTATCCTAAAGTTGAGAATGTGTCAAAGGTTAGATACTTACTTCTTCTCTCTTTTGCCAGCGCCTGTGTCCCGGAAGCCTTTGGCGAACGGGTTGTTGTCTATCTTTAATTGTGTTATCTGAAAATAGAATAAAATTTATAACTGTCATCTTTATAAACTATTGTAGAGATTGATTACTACTACTTGGACGTCGTCGTTAATCAGACTTTACAGTGTACACAGTTCATGGGGTCTATAGTACTAAATTCTTTTCGAAACGGGCTTGCTTAAAAAGTTGAAAATCATCAAGTTTAAGTGCGAGAAGATTTGTTATGACTCTAGGATTCGAAGTTTTTAATAGGATGTTGTCGTCTTTCTTGCAAAGAGATTTTTTGGATAGTCATTTTTATCCGACGTCCGGAACAGAAAAAAGGAAAATATACCAATGAAATGAATTACTAATATTTTTCACGGGGTGACGCCACGCTGTAGCTGTGTTGGAGCTGCAGCACTGATACGTCGGCTTAATCGGGAAAGCAGCATGCTCGCTATTTCAGCGAAAAATTATCATATTTATGATACATTTTTAATTATAGGATAAGGGTGACAAACGAGCACACAGTCCTGATGGTAAGTAGTTGCTGTGGTCCATAGACATCTACATCTATCCTCGATTACGAATCAAAATGCAGATGTGTCGTCACCCATGAGGACTAAGATGGAATGCCTCAGTTCCAGTAAAAAGGGTCTGCGGTTCTCTAAACTCACCATACGAAACAGCAGCGTTATATTGCTATTTTACGCTGGTATTCTGTGAGAGCGTGGTCCTTCCCCAGTCGAGCCGACTCATTCGTGCTACAACTATACCACTAATATAGCTGCAGCATGGCTCTACCACGTTAAAAACCTACCTACTGTTCACAGAAGAACATAGTTTAGTAGAACATACTGTTTTTAATGGTCACGGGGAATTATATCTTAATCAAATTATAAATAAATCAAATCAAACTACATTTTGATTCTGAATCAAGAATCGAATGTACATTTGTCGATAGGCCATTACGTCCACTTACAATAAGATAGACTGTGTGCTCGATTGCCAATCTAACTTATTAAAGATAATCCTTAAAAAAAATTCAAACAGAATTAGTTACCTTTTCGTTCTGATACGCTGTGACAGCGATGAACTCCGTCTCCTTGAAGACGTATGTCCTGAAGGTGGAGTAGGGCAGCTTCAGGATGTCGTTGGCGCGCACCAGGTGAAACCTCGGCTGGTACTTGTGCATCGAGTTCAGGATCGTCTGCGTGACACACTTTAGACAGCTTAGGAACTTGATCGTTGGACTTCAGATTGTAGAGATGTAATTAATAGTACTGAGCTTCCTCGCTTGTTGACTCAACAGCCCAAGTCCAATGAAAAGCAATTTGTCATTATCATTATCATTGGCAGAAAGTCTACAGCTGAGTATAAAGCCCTCATGTCAAAGAAAACTTAATTCTAAATAACGGCATAATAATATAATTATATTTAAATGTTAGATTTAAATGTAATTATATTATTAGAGTTAAAGAAATATAAGATGTTTTATTTAACGTCATTTAATTTCATGTCGAGTCGATTTACCATAATTATCTATGACGGAAATGTATTATGGCAAACATTGGCATTTTAACGCGTAATTAGTAAAAAAAATCGGTATACGTATATGATGTATAATTCAATATACCGTTACCGCCAAAGCCTTTCAAAAGTCCACTACTGAACCATCTCACATTTAGACCATCTCACCCATAGATTTCCTCATAAGGGAGATATCTATGTTTCCTTCTGTTGTCTACGACACCCACGGGTCGATATATATATATATATATATATATCGATAATCTATACAAATAAATAAAATTGAAGTGTCCGTTTGTAATGTCAAAATTACAGCTTTTTACTAAATGCATAGGAAAGTATTTTTTTTTATTAATATAATCATCTAAAATTTCAATGAACTGTGCACTGCATTAAAAGTTATATCGCTACTATTATTTTCAATAACTTTTTTTATAGACGACATCATTTTTCACAATCACTTTCACACTTTCCAGTGTAACCGTGTGGTGGCGGTGTAAAAATATCAACTACCCCATATCGTCCCGCGGGTTTCGTAAGAGGTGACAGAGAGAAAATGAAACAGGATATGGGTAGCAGCATCTTCCCGATAACTCTTTCCTAGCGTGGCAACTATGGCGAAATGCCCCATGAGGCAATCTATGAGGCAGGCCTATGTTCAGCAGTGGACTTTTATAGGCCATAATGTATTTTCCATTGTTATTTTATCGCCCGCTTGTATTTGCCGGCCATCACTTCTGATACGAGTAAGTACATTTTATTGTAAACAATTCCGCTAGTGATGCAATGCAGTTCGCGGTGCCTTATTGAGAGCAAACGTAATTGGTTGCAATTCGTCGAATCGCTAGCACACAATAGTTGCAATTCATCAGATGTACCGAGCTTCGCGGCTTGTTTATTATTTTGCGACCTGAAAAATGTACATCTGTATCCGACAAAAGATTGTCAAGGAGAACTACGTACGAAGTTACTATCGGAAAAATCAATTTTGAAAGCACAGTCAGTCACATTTTTTTTTTGGTTAGGTAATGATAAAAACTCATTCAAAATTCAACTTCATAAAGATGGTTTGAATATTTTTCATTAAAAACAGCAATAATAATAAATAAGTTAAATTAACCGAGTAAAAGGCGCAAAGTCTGTAAGGCGTTTATGTACTTTTAGGCACAGGGATTTTTTGTTTGAGAGAATTTATTGTAACTGTTTAATTTCTATGTAAATTATTAGTATTAACTGTTTTAAAATGGTTATTTAGGCATATGGGGAAGGCTATGAGATTATTGTGACATTTTTTTAATTATACATTTATACTATCAATTACGTATTATATAATGCAGTAATTATTATTTTTGGGTATCAATTCATAGGATCTTCATACTCAAGTATGCTCCTCACTACTCAAATTGTTACCGTAATTATAAATACTGCTTTACCACGATTTAAGGCGCCTAAGTAAAACAACCTTCATATTCAAGTAATTGAAAACATTTTAATTAGAATGAAGTCCGCCAGATATTACTGGAATCGCGCAATGAACTCTTTCGGTTTTATAACCCTTCCACAAATGAAAAAAGCTTGTGGCCAGAAGTAGGAGATAGAATGAATAGAATAGAATAGAATAGAATATTTTTTATTCAATATACATTACATGTGTAATTCTTATTGAAAGTCATTTTTTACTTTACCACTGGTTCGAAAAAAACCCTCTGTCCTGGGAAGAACCAGCAAGAAACCCAGCGGGACTTTTTTTTAAAATAAATTTTACAATATAAATGATTACGAACTATTTACAAAATTTATTTTAGAAACTGCTTGGAAGCGACCACCTCATTCCCAGGGGTTATTATCAACCATGTATTCATTTATATTATAATGGCAGCCCGTGTCTTCATATTTCATATATGTATCATTGATAACATCACTTATTTAAACATATTTGCCTGTCTTTTACATTAGATTTATATTTAACCAATCATCATCTGAAAGGCTACGAGTATATTCGTTGAGCCCCTCATTGGTTACCTGCTACTCCACGACCGTCAATCTAGCACAAATGGGTACCTAATCTTCAAGTGCGTCTTCTATTTGATCTATGTACTCTCTAGACCGACCCCTGCTCACGTACCACTCGTACACGCTTTGAATGGTCTATTTAAAACTTTTAGTTCCTTTCTACCATGCTTGCATTATTTATGGCGTGATATATTTTTATTTTAGCATGGGAGCATTTTTTTTCTTTTTGTAAAAGCCTTTTTTAAGAATTGGTAATTTTTATTTTGCATTATTAGGTAAGTTTCAAAATTATTGTAATTATACATTTCAAAGTTATGTATCTCTATATCTCAAAAAATATGATGGAATACACTTTAAAGAAGGTATTACTAGGTGATAGGTCTAGGACTAACTAATAGGACCTTGATTTCTTTATATTTACGCGAACACTACACATTTAAATAAAACATTACCAATTACAGATTAATAATGAAGTAGCCGTGGTTAACTATGACATTAGGAGATGGGACGTCGTATACTTTAGTCCCCCCGTGACCATGGTGTTGTAAAGTGCTTGAAACGACGTGAATACAAGTGGTAAAATTAAAATGTTTGTACAATCGACTTCAATATAAATAATTTATTTAATAATTAATTTATTTTTTTAAAACCGCTCGACCGATTTCGATAAAATTTAAATGACACCAGCTGAGAAGTATATCCTTTGAAACAAAGAAATAAATTTCCAAATCCGTTCAGGCGTCTTCGAGTAATTGGTGAACATACATAAAAAAAAATTCAACTAATTGAGAATCTCTTTTTTTTTGAAGTTGGTTGATAAAGTAAGTTAATATACGCGATAAAGTCTGTAAAACATTTTTATCTAGGGTCCGTGTGGGTAGGTTACGTTTTTTGTCGCTAAGCAACATTGCTTGTACGACTGCGTTCCGATCTGCATGTTATAGAGACCCAGTATCTATAGTTACAGTCTCTAAGGCATTCCATCATAGTCATTAGAGGTAACAACACATCTGTAACAACGCATATACCTTCATTGTCTGAAGAAGTTGCAGGCGTTCATTGACCGCAGTATATCATTTCAGTCATTTTCCATTAGTTAGACTGTAAATTCGTTTGTCACTTAATTTTATTAAAAATAATTTATTAAGCTGCAATACCCCTTAATCGCGTATCCTCAGTAAAACCCATAATAAAACTGCAGTGAGGCTCTACTACGTAAGAAAAGAGTGTTATTATTTATATGCGGTAGGACAAGACTCTCACATAATACCAGCGTGAAATAGCAGCTTAATGCTGCTGTGTTGCGTATGGTGTATGTAGGGAATCGGAGAGTTTTTTTACTGGAAACTAGTGACAACGCTTCTGCATTTTGATTCTTATTCTAGGACAGATTTAGATGTCTATGGGCCAAAGTGACTGTGTTCCCGTATGTCTTTTTTTATAGGAGAAGGGGCAAACGAGCAAGCGGCTCACCTGATGCTAACTGACTACCGCCGCTCATGAACAACTGCAACACCAGGGGAACAGCATTGCGTTGTCGGCCTTTTAAAATGGAGTAGGCTCTTTTCTTGAAGGTCCCTAAGTCGTATCGTATATTGTCACCTTAATTCCATAAAAATATAAGAGAATCAAAAGTGAATTATAATACCAAGAAAAGTAATGTTGAAATAATAACCATTTGATTATTGTACGAGAAAAGTATCGACAAAAAACTCCCTCATTAATAATGAAGATAGTTTCACAAGGAAGTATAATAGGTCATTTTCTTGCGACAGTTCTCACCCCACGTGTCATTAAGGGTCATTATTGTAGTCATCGTTGAATGATACATGAACTGATCACGATCTATTGCGAAGGTGGTTGTTAAAGGAAATCAATTCCTACTTGCGGAAATAATTGCTGATAACTTTGCTTCATATTTTTCCTTTTTATATTATGCACCTTTAATTTGAACAGTTGTCAATGAATTGTTTCTATTTACGTTAGGAAATTAGTAATAAATTACTTCATTATAATAAATTAATTTGGATCTGGCTCTTTTCCTAACATTTTTTTATAAGATAGGGTGACAAACGAGCACACAGTCCACCTGATGGTAAGTGGTTGCTGTGACCCATATACATCCACATCTATCCTCAATGAATAATCAAAATGCAGATGCGTTGTCACACGTTAGGACTAAGATGGAATGCCTCTTTTCCAGTAAAAAGGGTCTCCATTTCTCTACACTCACCATACGAAACACAGCAGCGTTAAGCTGCTATTTTACGCTGGTTTTTTGTGAGAGCGTGGTCCTTCCCCGGTCGAGCCGACCCATTCGTGCTACAACTATACTACTAATAAAGCTGCAGCATGCCTCTATCTCAAAACATTGTCCATTTTCTTTTTTTAGCTAAACTTAATTTTAATATTTAAAATATTTTATATAGCGGATTGCGGAGTTTATTTCATTTCATAAAACTATGAAACCCTTTACGAGTACACGTATATACTTACAATTTCTCTATTGAGGTTTCTTTTTGCTAGCTAGTAAAAACTTTTTCAATTGACGTGAGTCTCGGCTGCCTCATTCAATGGTATTTACTTACTTACTTAATTATCTTCACGCACAATCCCTGACGGGGTAGCCAGAGAGAACAGATCGCCAAGTGTCACGATCCTTACATA